TGAAAAAACATATATTCTTTAGATATTTTTTCGTTTGGAAGACACAAGGGTTAATCATAAATTCGTTTCCTCCATAAAATGGTCGCCACACCACTGCTATTTGTTATCACTAACCGTTAATATTACAAAAAGAAGAAGACTTTTTCTGGCACTTCGTACCATCATGACATTGACAGCAACATTTATATATTTAATTGCTTGATTCGTAGAATTTATCGCTAAATTTTTAATGCATTGTTCTTAAATAATTGAATATGTCAGTGCAATGAACCATGACCCATACATATATATATTGGATTGACATGGCATTAGTGGGAGTTATGAGCAAAATATAGGAGTGGTAATTGTTGTATTAAATACGAGAGAAAAATCGTTCAAAAATTATGAATTGAATTATTGATAGGATGCTCTTTGGTGAGTTTTTAATGATTTACGCTATTCATTTGTGAAGATACTGAGATTTTAATTTGAACTTTCGGATTTTAGACATTTTTTCTACCAATACAACTATTTTAAAGATGGGTGCGTCATCTTTGGTGTTCGATGGTTCACTTATATTATGCACTTAATTGTTTTAGAATTTCGATATTTTAATGTTATAATTTCTTTCAGAATGCGATGGCGAATAGTTTAATTTTTCAAGTTTAATGGTTTAATTTTAATTTTTTTAATTTTTAATTTTTAAATTTTTGAGAATTGGATATTTTTCGATTAACTTACCAAGTTGCAATAGGGGGAGAGTTGGCGCCGTCAGGCTAGTTTAGTCCCACTTATCGGTCCTAAGTCCGAGGTTGCACTTGGATATTTTATAAATTTTTATTTTATAATTTTTAATTTTTTAATTTTGCTTGAAAACGTTGGAATTTTATCTTCTATATTCGCCATTGATATTTTGAAATGGGATTTAACCCTCCAAGCGGTCTGCACGTAAAATCCCGTCATTCCAGAAATGCTTTTTTTTCCTTCAAGCAAGATTCCCAAAAGCGGCCGAGCCACATTCTTAAAAATACGGCTGAACCGCTTTTGAGAACCCCACCTCACGGCAAAAAAATACGTGCGGTGCATTTTCGAAGCAAGTGCAGACCGCTTAGAGGGTTAATGTTATAAGATTCATATAATTTCAATTTTTTAATTGATTATTAAGTTGTGATTAAATTATATATATTTCTGCAGTGTAAATAACCAAAAACGAAGACAACGAACTTATAAACCACAGGATGTGTGGTATGTGTTTGCAATTGAAAATCAGTACATAACAGTACCAAATGAAATTTAAGATTTATGTTACCGTAAAATCCGGTGTATAACATACATTTGCGTATAACGCGCACCCCCATATATAGAAACCTGAAACGTATGTATGCAATGCTGTTATGTTTTGAAGATATTTATTCGAGGTATTTTACCAGGCTTTATAAAAAGTTGTACACTTCTAGGAAAAGCAACCCTTTAAATTCTTTCATAAGGTCTATCAATTCTTTTAAATAAACATTATTTTGATACATGGAGAAGGTTTTTATGCTTAACTCTTTATTTACTTTTAAAGCTATCATTTTTATACTCGACGTATCATGAGCACCCGTAAATTTCAGTTACATTTGGTGTTGAAAGATCGCGTTATTTGCCGGATTTTACAGTATTTTTTATACAATATATAAATGACTGTAAAAATTCATTAAGCGATTGGCCAAACATTCTGAAAGAAATAAAATTGTTAAAATAATTGAATTGCATTCTTATTCGATTTTCTAAATTTTGTATCTAAGAAATTGCAAAAAATAGGGAGGGGGGGGGGCTATTCTTTTCTTTCTATTTTACATGCCGTATCATCCAAATGATTTCTATATTTTCAACTGAACTTTCTTAATTAGGCAATTATTTAGATTTTCTTGGGAATTTCAAAACCGTCAAAAATTTTAATACATGTAAAAAGAGTTAAAGCAGTGGTAGCCTAGTGGCTATGGATACAAATTCGTGGCCGACGTATCATGACTTAAAGCCCTATTGCAAGTGAAGACCCGCCGTGTAGAGGTTACATGCATGTTAGTTCTGTCGTTAATTCTGTGTTACATGAAAGTTCGGAGAGGGAGGCTCTAGCTGAGGGGATACAACTCTTTTTTTAAGCCTTTTTAGCGATTTTATACTTTTAATGATTAAACAAGCGTTTGGCGTTGCTTAGCCAAATTTGGCTCCTGCGTCATTAATCACAACCACTCCCTCCCTCATCCCAGCTTAGGTGACCGAGGTTCAAAATAAAGAGGTTCGTTGCCAATAGCCATAATGTTGCTTTATGGTGCAATGTTAATTAACACACTCATGTTGTAAAAAAAAGTGAATTATTGCTTTAAGGTATCCGACTACTTGCGACAACTTTTTTTTGAAAAAATGGAGGTATAGGGATTTTTTTGTGATTTTAAGATTTATTTAGTATAATTTAAGGAAAAAATCGAAAGAAAAAATATCGAAAACAGCAACAAAAATTAATTATTATTAAAAGGGGGTAAAAATGGTGAAAATATACAAAAAAATTATATAAACGGGGCCCACTCAGCACAAAAAGTTTTTGAACAAATTCTCAATTTTTCAATTTTGCGTTACTTTGTTATTCATGTTTGAAATGACCTTCAGGATAAAAGTTATTTTAACTTTTACAAAAATTGGAGCACTCTATCTTAGTGAATATATGAAATTGCTTTAAAAAACAGTGATTATATTCACATAAAGGACTGTAAATTTTGAAATAAAACAGTAATTGACAAATCTAAAGATCAAAACACTTCTACTGTTATAAAAGACGTTCGCCTAAAAATTTCCGGAAATTATTTTCAAATTTTGTTGAGCAATCACTGTCCCCGTTTGAGTTTTTCGAAAAAAAGAAAAAAAAAAACATTTCGAGTAAAACACATTTTAAAGTTTGACATCTTGTGTAAAATTACATATGGCATCTTCTTTTATTAAAGCACTTGCAGTTTTTGTTCTAGTGAATGGAAAGTAAAAAGCATGGTATTTTTATTAAGGTATCCGACTACGTTCGGAACCATGATTTTAAAAAAGCGCATAAATGGATAATTTTCATGATATTTAGTGTCACTTAGATTAGAATACATGTATAAAATTGTTTTAAGGACATTTTGACAAAAAAAAATTTATTTAAATACAATACTTTGGTGAACAACTAACTTAGAATAACCTTTTTTCAAAATGTTCTCCTTTTGTGAAAAATGCTTCTATTATAATAATATTTTGCTTATATGTAGCTCAGACCTCTGTACAGAGGCTCAATTATGATTTTTGAAAAATTCACATTATTTTCAGTTACAATGAATTGAACTAATTATCAGCGTTTTTTTCTTAAAATTTCTCCCCTCTGTTGTCGTAAAAGATGGATAAACCCACTAGTTATATATTTCAAAAATTTTAGTTGAGCCTCTATACAGAGGTTTTAGCTATATACAGAAAAATATTATTATAATAGAAGCATTTTTTACAAAAGGAGAATATTTTGAAAATAGGTCATTCTCTGTTCATTTTTTGTCACAATATTGTACTTAAATTTTTTTATTGTAATACTATTCTTAAAAAACAATTTTACATACATTTTCTAATCTAAGTGACACTAAATATCATAAATATTATCCATTTATACGCTTTTGCAAAATCACGGTTCCGAACGTAGTCGGATACCTTATAAGCTAATAAGATAGCCTATAAAATAAAATCATTAAAAAAATTTGTCAATTTTTGAAAAATATCCTGATTTTAGGGTGGTCGAATACCTTAAAACTGTTAAATATGATAAAATTTTAAACGATGTTTGGAAAAAAAGAAATTTTTTATTACTTTATGCTTTTTTTCTTTCTTTTATTGCTACTAAATAGATTTTCCTTCGTTTTCAATAAAATTTAAGAGAGCAATAAAAACCAATAGCTTCACAAAAGTGGGGGGGGGGGG